TTTAGGGTTTAGGGTGTAGGCGTTTAGGGGTTTAGGGTTTAGGGTTTAGGGTTTGGGGTTTGGGGTTTAAGCGTTTAGGGGTTTAGGGTTTAGGGTTTAGGGTTTTAGGGTTTAGGGTTTAGGGTTTAGGGTTTAGGGTTTAGGGTTTATAGGGGTATAGGGGTATAGGGGTTTAGGGGTTTAGGGGTTTAGGGGTTTAGGGTTTAGGGTTTAGGGTTTGGGGTTTAGGGTTTAGGGTTTAGGGCTTCCCCCAAAGGCTCTAAGGACTCATATTTAAGGCTGTTGGGCCCAAAGACCATACTATATAGGGCTTTTAAGCTATTTTGAGCCTTAGGGCTTCTAGGGTTTTGGATCCCGAAAAATCCTAAAGTTTATGGCTTAGAGGTTTAGGGCTTTAGGGTTTAGGGGTTTAGGGTCTAGGGTTTAGGGGTTTTGGGGGTTTAGGGGTTTAGAGGTTTAGGGGTTTAGGCGCTTAGGGGTTAGCGGTTTAGGGTTTCGGGTTTAGGGTTTAGGGTTTAGGGTTTTAGGGTTTAGGCTTTAGGGTTTAGCCCAAAGGCTCTAAGAACTAATATTCTAAGGCTGTACCATACTACATAGGGCTTTTGGGCTATGCTGATCGTTAGGGAATGTCCACAGCGAAACCCAGAAAGTTGGAACAGGGGTTTAGGATGACGAGAAAGTTCTCAAGTTTGGGCTTAGGGGTTTATGGGTTTGGGGGGTTTAGGGGTAGGGCTTCTAGAATTTTGGATCACGAAAAAGTTCTAAAGCTTTGGGCTTAGGGGTTTAGGGGTTTGGGGGGTTTAGGGGTTCTGGATCCCGAAAAATACCTAAAGTGTAGGGCTTAGGGGTTTAAGGCTTTGGGATGGGGCTTCTAGAGTCTGGGATCCGGAAAAATCCTGAAATTTAGGGCTTAGGGGTTTGTGGGTTTCGGAGACAGTCGTGCCGACCGGCAACAGACAACTGTGCCCTGCGCATTCGAAAAAGGGTTTTAATTTAAAGTTTTGGATTTGGCTTTGGCTTAGAGATAAAGGGATCTGGGTTTTGGGTTTTGGGTTTAGGGCCTAAGCCCTAAACCCCAACGACCTAACCTTGATAGCCCTAAATCCTGATAGGGCTTCGGGTGGGATACAGGATCCAGGGTTGAACTTTTTCAGGAGACTCCTTGGTTCGTACAAACCGGTGTAGGTTTAGGGTTCGAGGGGGTAGGTGGTAGGACTAGGAAGTTCGGGGATTGCAGGTTTACAGCCTTCTGACATGTCGCTCAGCATGTTTGAAATTTGCTGAGCCCCACCATTCAATACCCCCGCGCCTACATTGTAACTTGGGAGTTTGGTGACCCAGTAGTCCCCAACGTCGTTTCGACAGTTGTCCCACCATTCGATGCCTGAAATGACCTCCGCGAGCGCTTTCTGCACCCACGAGCCAAGTATCGCGTTGATGGGGGCACTTGCCTCGAAGTAGGACCTTTTCTTGGTCCTATGCTTGGCCTCGCTGTATAAATCGTGTTTGCGCTTGAGGTAAGTGCCAATAAATGCTTGGCCGTCAAGAGTGGCCCCGTATGCATCTTCAACCGTCTCGGCGTTGACAACGCGCCCAATCACCTGCTCGATGTGGCGCCGAAATGTGTCCATCTGCCCGCGTACTCTCGATTGTTCTGCGCACCCAATGCCCTACCCAGTGGTCCTGGGCTAACCACGGGGTTGATCTCCGGGCCACAGTTGTCTCGTAGTACCCCGATGGTAGCTGGAAAATGAGGTTGCAGCGGTGCAGAGTCTGAATCTATGTCGAATTCGTATGTTGACTTCATAATATATGAAGCTGATCAACAGGGTTTAGGGTTTAGAGCTTAGGGCTTAGGGTTTGTTTGAGAGTAAATCAGAAAACATGGGATCTGGGGTTTAGGGTATGCAGGGTATAGAGTTCTGCGGGTTGTGGCTTGGCATGTAAGGTTGGGGCACGTAAGGCGCAAAGCGGCCAGGAGCCACTGACTAGCGACTAAACAGAGCCGTGTCTCAGTCCTGAGTAGAGGCTCAGGGGACTAAGTAGGGGTAGGGTTTAGGGTTTAGGGTTTTAGTCTCCTGAACCCCTAGGAATACGACCCTATGAAGCAAGACATGACAAGGCAACGTCTTCTTATGAGATAGGATTAGGGGACCCTTGGCGATATGGACCCTCTCAATGAGGTCCATTTTAAGAGAGCCATAAATAGGGTTGAGAAGGGGCCCCCTTCTAAACTCTAAGCCCTAAACCCGAACCCCTAAACCCTAAACCCCTCACACCTAAACCCCTAAACCCTAAACCCTAAACCCCTGGCACCTAAACCCTAACCCCTAAACCCTAAGCCCCTAAACCCTAAACCCTTAAGGGGTCTCCCTAGTACCGGACTCTTGGCCTGGTATCGGCCCATCAAGAGAACCACCGTCTCACCACTCGCAAGGGCCTGGATCACGGTTTAGGGTTTAGGGTTTAGGGTTTAGGGTTTAGGGTTCTAAGGACGACTTTAGGAGGGACCCCTAATAGGGACCCTTAAGCCCATTACCTTAAATAACCATTGTATAGTCCTTATATACCCCTTATATAGCCAGGTAGTCTCCATATTAACTCCAATAACCTACAAGGGTCCCTCCTAAAGCCCGTAGGGCTCGGTAGGGCCATGCCCAGGTACTAAACCCTAAAACCCGAGACCCCAAACACTAAACCCCTAGAGCCCCTAAACCCTAAAACCTGAGACCCTAAACTCTAAACCCCTACACCACCTAAACCCCTAAACACTAAACCCCTAAAGCTCCTAAAGCCCCTAAAGCCCCTGAAGCCCCTAAACCCCTAAAGCTCCTAAAGCCCCTAAGGCCCCTAAACCCCTAAACCCCGAAAGCCCCTAAACCCCTAAAGGATCTAAAGCCCCAAAAGCCCCTAAACCCTAACAGGGCCTCGGCCCTTCGGGGTTCCGGGTGCAAGACTGAATTCAAGTGCTTAGGCATGGGCCCCTAATATGGACACTTAGGCCTTTCTAGGGACCCTTGAGGGTACCTTCAGGGTATATGAGGTATATAGTAGGTATATAAGGATCCCAGGGTTAAGGGCCCAAACTAGGGGCCCATGGTTTCAACCATAGACTGAAGTCGAGTACGTAATTGCAGGGCTCGGGACTGGATACAGGTGTGGGGGGTTGAAGGGTTTATTTTGGGGTGTAGGGTTTATTTGTTGGTTTAGGGTGTAGGGTTGCAGGGCTTAGCGACTTAAGGTGCTTTTTCGGGTTCACAGGGTGTAGGATTAAACCGGTCTAGATGTAAACTTCAGGCTCTACCCTGGTTGAAGCTGCACTCGCCCAAACACAGCTGACACTATCGCTGACACTGTGTCTCCTGACACATGGTCATGGTCAGCCCCACTGTCGATATCCCCCAATTAATCCCTAAACCCTATAACCCAATGAGGCAGCAGTCTCCACGCCTTCTACTGGGCCTAAAAGTTTACCTGATCAGATCTCCATTCGCCTCTAAATATGACGTGCTGCTCTGAGATCTCAATATCCGTCCATTAAGGAATATACTTGAAATTATAGAGGCATAATACGAGTACATTCCTTAATTAAGGGGTATTGGGCTTTCTTCGGGTCATTGTAGGTCCCCTGAACCTTATAAGAACCCTTGTAGAAATTCCTCAAAGAACCCTTAGGAACCTTCAAAACACCCTGCTTACTCCATGTTCTGGGTGAGTAAGCCCCACATCCCCAGAAAATTCGGCTTACGGGTCTGCGGGAAGCCTTTAGGGCTTAGGGGTTGGGTTTAGGGTTTAGGGTTTCGGGTTTAGGGTTTAGGGTTTAGGGTTTAGGGTTTAGGGTTTAGGGTTCAAGGGCTGAGGGTTTGGAGCCTTCAGGGTCGGGTTTAGGGTTTAGGGTTTAGGGGTGCAGGATTTAGAACGCTACACCCGGCACTCTCCTGCCCTGCAACCCTTCACCCCTAAACCCTAAACCCTAAACCTAAAACCCCTTCTTGCTCAAAGGCTTCCTTTAAGCGGGTTTAGGGGTTGTTTTCAGGCTTCCTTTATGCTCAGGAGGATCTAGTTTGGGCTGTAGGGTTGACTTGGAGGTCTAGGGTCTAGTAAGCCGAATCCTGTGCTGAGCTCCTAGAAACGAAGCGTCAGAAATTTGGAGTACGGGGAACGAGGGTCCGGGCTTTGGGGTGTTGGGCTTTCGGGTCTCTGATGGCTTAGGGCCATGGGCTTATTGTTTAGGATCGATTTTGACGATAGTGGGGTGCTATAGCTGAAAACTAACCCTAAGGATCAACATAGCCCAAAAGCCGTACATAGTGGTCTTTTGGGCTCAAAAACCTTAGAATATGAGTCCTTAGAGCCTTAGGGTAAGCTTAGTTTTCAGTTTAGGGTGTCGGGCATCTCACGCCCTCTGAAACTTCCAGTTTAGGGCTGACCGCTTCGGCGCAAAATCCCCAAACCCAACCCAAGCAAAACCCTGAAAACTGTAACCCCCAAACCCTAAACCCTGAAAGGGAAACCTAAAACCCAGACCCGAAAGCCTAAAACCCTAAACTCCTAAACCCTAAAACCCAAAACTACAGCCCTAATCCCTAAACCCTACCCTGAGCATCCCATATTGATT